TTCCCGTGGCGGGGCGGGAGGAGACTGCCTGGCAGGAGCTCTCCCTGCGCTGTCCTGCCCTTCCCTGCGCGAGCCGCCGCCGCTGACAGGACACCTTCTTGTTCCGCAGGGCCGCCGAAGGGGCAGCAGCGCCGCGAGGCCTCCAGCCATGGCCGACGTAAGCGCGGCTCAGCCGGGCGGGGCGGTTGGGCGGGACCGGGGGCCGCGGGGGCCGCGAGGCACTGCGGCCGCGCTCCGTCGGGCGGGGAGCAGGTCGCGTCACGGCGTTGTCTGTCCCCGCAGGATCTGAAGAGGTTCCTCTACAAGAAGCTGCCGAGGTAACGAGGAGCTCCATCCGCGCCTCCCCCTCCGCGTTGTGTGCGCCGCTCTCCCGCCCTGCCCTGAGGCCACCCTCCAGTAACACCGCGCTGCTTCCTCTCCTGTGCCTTCCCCTTGCGCGTCTGTTCTGGGGGAGGGGAAAAGCGATAAATAAGTATGCTAGCAACTGTTCCGTTTGAAAATATTTTTTCCTTATCTTCTGCAGCGTCGAAGGTCTCCACGCTATTGTGGTGTCAGACAGAGATGGAGTGCCTGTCATCAAAGGTAATGGCAGCCGTGCTGCAGCCCTGACCCGGTGGCAAGTGGGGAGTGTGCGGCAGCCTCCTGTGCCCAGTGCCACGACCGAGGAATTAAAGGAGGCTCTTGCTTCAGTAGCTTCTCACTAAGTTGAGAAAGCTGTGTCTCCAGCAATCACAGGCTGCAGGAACTTTCCTCTTTTGCACCATGGCTGTGCAGGGTAGGAAGGGTGTGGGGTCCTGTGCCCTCAGTTGTTGCAGGGCAGCAGCGACAGTTCCTCACATTGGGTGGCCCTGGCCAGGCTGTGCTCAGAACTGACTGCATCCAGCTTCCATGTGTACTGTCTGATTCTTCCTGTGTTTGGGTACTGTGATTTTTACCCTATCTCAGCAGTCCTCCTTTAGGATACTTTTGCAGCGCAGGTGAGGTGGTTTAAGAATAGAAAGATTCAGTGTCGCTATTCGGTGGGGTTTCTTAGTGTCCCAGAGTACTTAAGCAGCTAGCTGAACATGCACATCTCCATCCGCCTCCCTTCGGGTGGCTGTTTGCCAGCAGTCAGTTCCTGAAGTGGTTCCACAATACTGTATGTGGGACATGAACTGAAGTGCCACCAGTACCAGCTGCTAGGGATCTGGGAGCGTGCTGTACCATGGTTACAGGTCACTTGCAAGGCATTAAACAATCTGCTGTCCTTGAAGACTGTACTTGTGACAGCGTAGGTGATGTCTTATGTGTTCCTGGCACCACGTCTGCTTTTTGCACAGCACTGAGTGAGAAACGCAAGGGCTTATGATGCAGTCACAGATACCGCGTTAAAGAAAAAGCTTTCTTGTTCTATTCCAGTTGCCAATGATAACGCCCCAGAACATGCCCTGCGACCTGGCTTTCTGTCCACGTTTGCCCTTGCAACCGATCAGGGCAGTAAGTTGGGACTCTCCAAGAACAAAAGTATCATCTGTTACTACAACACATACCAGGTGAGTGAATGCAGCCTGGAGCTGGAGCTCCTCCTGTGTTACCCTGAGCATAATGGGGGAGAGAACATGGTGTAAACGCTGCTAGATTTCCACTTGGCTCTTCTTTGTGCTTTATTTCTCAATTAAAGCTGGCTAAGCTACACTCTTGCAATTTATTAAACTCTTACATGTTTCTCAAAACTGAGAAGACTGACGGGTTGAAGCTGGTCGAGTTTTCTGAGCAGCTAGCCAACAAGCACCAGCAGGTGGTGCTGTTGATGTGGTCTTCAGAGTGCTGTGAAAGGTTTATGTTCTTTTTGCAAAGGGTATTTTTTTATTACTGACACAGTTACACAAGCACGTGCAGCTCGTTTAGAAGTTAATATTGCTGTAAGAAGGACTTCAAGGTAAGAAAACACTGAAATATCTACTTACAGTTCTTACAAACTGGATATTTTTGTCCTGAAATCTTTTGTTACCTACCAAATGTCTGTTCCTTCTCAAGCTCGCATGGTCTTAAGAGCTTTTCATTTTAGCTGCATTAAACCAGCATACTGCTTAGCCTGCAGTACTTTTGTTTTGTTTCTAAAATACATGGGTGAATTAATTAGTTTACATACAGGAGTAGGTTGCTTTGAGTCTTGATGTTACTGGTTTACGTGCCTAAAGCTGAAGCATCCTGTTAGAGGAAGAAATACTATATGCTGAAGCATATCTTAGAATAATAAGCCTGCCTGCCCTCTTCTTATTTGTAGAAAGGAACTTCCACAGAGTACACTGCAGCTCTTTATGCTGAGTTGGATGTTGGGTGAATAACGCAACAGAACACTAGAGGGAAGATGGCAGGCTTTCCAAATACAGCTTCCTGCACTGTGCTACCAGCTTGCTTAGCACATTTATCTGTGACATCCAGTGTGCGTTAGCTGCCAGGTTAACAGCGTTCTCTGTCTTGCAGGTGGTGCAGTTCAATCGCTTACCTTTGGTAGTGAGCTTCATTGCTAGCAGCAATGCTAATACTGGTACGTCCTCAGATGATTTTAAATGTTTACAGTATTTTAAGCCTCAGATGTTTTAAATATTTGAAAGTAAATTACCCGTTTTCTTCAAGGTGTATTAACTTTTTTCTCCTGCTGTGAATTGTGTCAGAATACTGTGAAGAGAAGGGAGATGCATGGGTAAAGACCCATAGATTCTAGGTGACCTGCTGAGGTTATGATTACATTAGAAACACCTCATTTCTATTGTGTTTAACCTTATCTTTACTATGTGAAGAGTGTTTACTGCACAGGCAATGACTGCACAGCACAAACCAGCTGTCTGGTCTCTCCATCTGCTCCAAGTTACGTTCTGCAGTAAGATGTGTGGTGTCATCTCCTCAGTTCGCAGAACAGGGCAGTCCTTCAGCAAGGCACCTGGGCTGGTGTGTGAGGGTTTTGGTGGTGGTTGCTGTGAGCCAAAGGGATTTAATTCTTGTGCAGCCACTTGGCTGTGCACCAAGTGAGTTGTGCTGTACAGGCTGTACAGTCAGGGCCTGGGTCTGTATGCTCTGTGCCTTAGAGTGCTGCCTGGTGAGAACGAGTGAGTGCTATAGAAAACCATTCTTGTGACTGGAAGCTGCAGGTTTTGGAGAAGTGGTTCTTCGGTATGTTGTTCGATGAATGTTCCATCTCTTGTCTCTTCCTAGGGCTGATCGTAAGTTTAGAGAAGGAGCTCACGCCCCTTTTCGAAGAACTAAGGCAGGTTGTTGAAGTTTCTTAACCTCATGCTACAGTCGGAGTGCAGCGTCCATCTCAGCCCAATGGACAGGAAGACTCAATAATCCTCAGTCCAGTAACATGTCTCAGAAGATTTCACAGCTCCTTTGTACACTAAGCAAATTGTACATAGTACTGAATCTGATATGATCTACGGGTGTGTTGTAGGCAGATGTTACTTTAGACCACGCTTCTTGTATTGTGCAGTGCTGGAGACCACCAAATAGCTCCCATGGAGTTTAGCTCAGCCAACTTAGCCACGTGAGCACAGTGCTCTTGGCTCAGCTGAGCAACCCACAGACCTTTTGCTTTATGGGGCACCAGGCATTCAGCGGAGTTTATCCTCAGGTTAGCTACCACAGCTTACTGGGTAACAGATGGATTGGTGTTACCAAAGATGTGGCTGAAGGAGCGTTGTGAGAGCCTGTTTGCTAGCAGTGATGTATCAGTACAATCAATCAGTATCCCATCCTGTTGGTGATGCTTTGGTCAAAGAATCTGACTAATCTGGGTGTTGGCTGCATCCTGCTTTCACTGAGAATGCTTTTTCTATGAAGGCTGTTGCTTAAGGGGTTTTCCTAACGCCCACAGGAAAGCACATGAACCATGTTTCACTTTGTGGGGTTTTTGTGTAACACAGTTGTGAAGTTCTCATGCCTTGTAGTTTTTGTGTGGATTTCATCATGGGTGACACTCAGCTCATTTACCCCTAGGTTTTCCTAAGTAAATAGATATAAATAAAATGTATTTTTAAATGACAGACCCTGGTCCACTCTTCTGTTGCACCGCAATATAGTACCATTTCTGTGCAGAGAATGGGTTTTTTAATCACTTGTAAGCTTACAAAAGCCAGGAGCTTACAAGCTGGCAGCTAACCAGTGTGCATCTCAATGGGGCTGAGTGGATGTTGCATCCTGTATGATCCATCCAATACATCCAATATGGAGATGGAGAAATTAGTAGCTGTCTGGCTTCCTATTTATAAGATCACAGGGGTTCCAGCCCATGCCCTCTGCCTCACCTCTTTTCTCCCCCAGTCTCTCTGTGACACTAGTGCACACAGTCAAATCTAAAACTGTTGGTGTAATGGAGCTTTCTTAGCAAGTCTCTGACATCATGCTTACACCTTGCCCATCTCTGTGCCAGGAGTGAGGGCTGGCAGTTCTTTGCTCAGAAGCTCTCACAGATAAAAAATTGTCAGTCAAGCCTTTCCCATTTAAACTGAGCTCCTAGCTCAAGCTTTCTGTAGCTCTAATCATAGAGGCGGCTCTGGGTAACTGGGCCCCAAGGCATCTGTGTGGGTGCTTGTGGCAAAAATCATTCCTGTTCCATCCAGGGAGAATCTCTTGCTCTTGTTTCCTGCTCAACCCGTCTGGTGCCCTTGCCCTAAATGCTTCCCCAGCCAACCAAGTGCTGGTTTGCTGGCTTCTGTCTGTGGCATCACGTACTGAGCTTGCTTCAGATGTTTTGTAACATGTGAAGAGGAAGGTTGCTTCTGTGGTTGCACTTGGAGCTTTGTTCCCAAGCTGTTTGCACAGGAGAGCAATGGTATGGGAGAACATCAGATCTTTCTTCTCCTGACACCACCTTTATTGTGTGCCAAGTCATCAGTGCTTTTTAACTAAGTTGGAGGTGCAAGTTGTTATGTTGACTCTTAAGGCAGAAAGAAGGACTAATTTATTTTGCAAAGCTTTAATGATACAGTGCAGAATGACAGAAGACCTTTGGTAGTTTTATAATGACTTTTTATTCAGAAAACAGTATATAAACATATTTACAAATGTTTTGAATGTATAAGTTGAAATAAAATGCTATTCCTGTCCAAAGCTGGATTTTCCATCTCGTATGTTCTTCTAGTATGTTTCTGCTCCTTTTTCTCTTCAACTTTCTCACAGTAAAGGCATCTACTGAACACTGAGCTGCACATTGTCCAGGGAAAAGGTTTGCATGCATGCAGCAGTTCGTCAGAAATGTGACCATTACAGAGAGAGGGATCTCCCTGCTCACCCCACGTCTCCCAGAGGAGCAGTCAGATGGGAGATAGACCAGGCTGGCCTTGAGACCCTCCAGTGTCAAAACTTGCTTTCAAAACATAATACCTCTTTTTTTTCATTGTAGCACCAAAGCACAAGGCTTCTGCTTCTGAACTCTGGTGAGCCACAACACTTAGGTGTGCTTGAGTCTTCCAAAATGCATATGGAAATTTTCATCCATCATGTAGAAGATATACTCTTTCAAACACACACGCACACGTGTATGTTTTTTAGTGTATATTGTGCTTTCCTGTTGCTCTTCTTGTTCAGTGTAAAGCAAGCAGTGCTTAATTCTTGAATGCAGTTGTGGATGAAATCTCATTTTATAAACCAAGTTATCTGCTTGAGGGGAAAAAAAATACAAAATCCAGCTCATTTTCAAAGGGGAGCATGTGGTCCCATCAATGCTGCTAAAACGTTGGTGGCTGCCACCAGCAAAGCCTTCTGCAGAGCTCTGTCATCCATCCTCAGGGTCCTGTAGCAGCACACACATGTGCTGAGAACTAGCTGCCTGTTTTTCATAGCCTGGGTTTGTAAACAAATGTGTTTCTGTCGCTGCTTACCATATCCTGTCCATGCCATTTAAAATAAACGTTCATTCAAAGCCGTAACTGTGGTATAAATCTAAAATGTACAAAAATATACTTGACCAGAAGTATTACTCCTCCATTACCTTCAAAAGTCTTGAAATACTAGGTTTAATTCTGCGGGTGTTAATGTAGATAGTACTTACAAAAATGTAATTGGCTCTGTCATTCTTCTTTTGGCCTAGATCCCGACAGGCCACACAAAAGTAATATTTAATGTTTCCAGAAAGGCCCAATTTTAAATAACAGGCTGAGTGTTACAGTCTGTGGCTGCTAACGGTAGCTGTGATGGAGCGTGCAGTAAGTTCTCAAGATGGCTCTGGATAACCACAGAAGTTCTGAAGTGACTGCTTCTGTGTTTAGTTAATGGGTGCCTGAATGATTGAGCCTTGAAGACATAAACCACACACATCAAACTGACGCTGTGATTTTGCAATGGTCTCCACACATGACTCAGCAACATGAAAGCAGTCCTGAAAGCTGTACAGATCCTCTGTATGCAGAGCTGGATGCAAATGTCTGCGTGTGGGCAAGTAGTGGAGATGTGGAACTCTCTTCCTGTGGTCAGATGCCTTCCCTGTGGTTGAGAGGCAATTCCTGCCCGTGGAATGGAAGGATTAGGGGTGCAACTGGGAACTGGGGGCATTGCGCTGCTCCACTTGTTTCCGTATTTGTGACTAGAACAGAGAAACAACCCGTTATCATTTGTCTACCTGCATGTGGATGTGGATGTGGATGAGTAAAACCAAGATAAATACTCATTTTTTTTAAGGAAGTAACGTTTTTAAGTCTTCCTGTTTCCTTCAGGACCAACGTGTGCAATCTGTGCTGTTCAATACTGTTCACCATCTACAGGGCAATGACTTTAATGATGTTAATTCATTGCTTCTTCATAACAAGCCTAAATATCAAAAAGGCATCCCAAAAGTAGTAAAGTGGGCTGCCAGGCTCATGCATTTCATGAAAACTCCATATTCTAGTCTAGTTGGCCTGGAAGCCAGAGCAGCACTCTCTCCATGCAGATAGTGAGACCTGTAGCACTGGTGTGCTCTAGCACTGGGAGTTTATCATATCACAAGGCATACTGCCTTTTAACAACACACACCATCTTACCAGTTTCCATCGCAGTATTTTAATCCACTCATCTGCTTCTATTCCAGTTTTTGCACACAGGTAGTATGTTCTTAGTGGGAACACTAAGCTGTAAATAAACAATTAGAGCTGTTTCACAGAATCACAGAATTGTAGGGGTTGGAAGGGACCTCCAGAGATCATCGAGTCCAACCCCCCAAGTTTCTTAAGTTGCTAGAGCAAAGCAGTAGTTCCTCCTAAAACTGAAGCCAACTGGTTGCACCACCACTGGCAGAGAGAGCAGGGCAGCAAGGCTTTTCTTCTGTACAGGAAAGGTTGACAGGCAGCATTCACAGTCTACAGCTCAGGGACATGTTCCTAGGGAGCCCATTGGGATCTAAGTGCCAGCTGGATCACCTCACTAAGTACCATATGCCTCAATAATGATTATATATATGCATTTTTCAGGATTAGAAAAAGAAGTGCCCACAAAATACGAGCCTGCCCTCTTTCTCCCCATCATGAAATAAAATCTTCTACCTGCAGTAGTCTGGCAAAGCCACGCAGAACTGACAGATGCTGTTAAGATTTATTAAGATCAGGGCTGGCTTCAGAATATAGGGAGCTTTCAAAAGCACCCAGTGGTTCCATTTGAAACTCCTGGCTACTCTGACCTTCCCAGCACAGTGTAGAATGCAACTTACCAGAAACAGTTGACTCTTTCTTGGGAATAGTCAAACTGCACTGCTGAGCATTCAGTTAAGTCGAGTGCCCGAATTGGTTCTGTGGCCTTTAAAATAAAATAATTTTATAATGGGAACACATGAAAATAAGGCTACTTTTGTTCATCTCCAGTGCACTCGGACCTTTATGGGTGCTCTGGATCTCTCTGAGTATAGGTATGAAAGCTACAAGCACTGTGAACCTAAACCAGCTAAACAACATCAGCGCTGTAGTGGGAGGAATTGAGCCTAATGTAAGAAACAGTACAGTAGGTTCAGCACTAGACAAACAATAGAGGACACCACTACTGCAGGAAGCCAGAGCTAGATACAAACTGGGGACAGGTCTAGAAGCATTTGGGAGCAGGTATGTACTTCCCTTGGGAGTTTCATTCTATTCAGGTGTGAGAGTCCTTTTGATTTATTTTTCTCACCATGTTGAGTACCTCAGAAGAGGTGCCTGAAATGAAAGAGCTTCTTGCTCTATCTAAACACCCTCACTACTTCCTATGCTCCTTCATGAGGCATATGGAGCATTTTCTCACCTTTCCCTACGTCTTTCTCTGTTTCAATAGCTGATAGTTGTGCACTATGTTATGAGAAAGCTGCAAGTGCTGAGATGAACTGATAAGTGCCAGCCTGCAGCTAGCAGTGAACTGTACAGCAACAACAGAAGCATCAATGGCTGCTGGAGCTGTGTGGGAGGAATCTGCATTTCTGACCAAGATGTGTTCTTGCCTGGTAAGTCACAAAGGCGATTCAGACTTTTTCAATTCATGAGTGCTGCCCTTAAAAATGTTATACTGGAAGTTTAATTCCAGGTAGTTTTAACTGAAATGAGCACTAATGGCAAACTCTGTAAGTACTACATAGCTGATGGGAATGTCTGGGGTGAGAGGGCAGGTGTATGCTGTTGTGTTAAAATCTGCAAGGTGCTTGAAAGAGGCTTGGGCAGTGGCCAATGGTTTGGCTGCATTTGTGCAGGGACTTGCTGTGGAGGTACTGCAAGGGTGGAGGGACCCTAAAGGTATTTCTTACTCTTACTGTTACTCCATTTAAGTTAAAAATGGAACACAACTGTAAAGACAAACTCTTTCCCAGATGCAACAGATAAGTCTTTGTGCTAGGCAGATTGATAAGAATTTCCTTTAATTGCAGTTGTTTGTGTAAACTACAAAACCACTTGAACTAAAAGGATGAAATCAAGGAATGCAAAATACACTTCTAGTACTTGCAGAAATACTTCAATAGTACTGTTCTCTGTCTGTTAAAGCTACCAGTGAAAGCTGTGCTGATAGCTTGAAATCCACTGAACAAAGAAACAAAAAGAATGCATTTTTAAAGAGTAATTTTGACCTGTAGGAGCACAGGAGATGGTTTCTAGCTGCAAAACTTATTGACTGACTTGTTAAGGTCATCAGCAAAACTCTGACTTTGAAAGTCCTTCTGAAAGTATGATACCTGAAAGTCCTTCTGACAGTATGGGAAGCTGTAACTTGGTAAGCTGTGATACGTATGCAAGAAGCCAGAAATAGGAGAATGTTGTGGCTGCCCCTGTACATATTTAGAGAATAGAACTGGTGCTTGCTACTTACTGTCTGGTCTTTGAAATATTTAAGTTCATTCCTATGCAGTGTAAACCACCTTGTCTTCCAGTTCTGAAAGATCAAGAACAGATGGTAATTGTCTTGTGAGAATTTAACGTAGCACTTCTTGGGAAAGAAAAACCTTTAAATGTATTGACTTGCTCTGCTTTACAGTCACGCTTTGCTGTTGTTTGGAAGACAAATTATTCCTCCCCAAAGGGAAATTCAGGCCAAGTTCAGCATTCTCCCTAGCTTTTGTGGGCAATTACAGAGTAATAGCAAGGAATAAGAGGTTTTCTTACCTTAACAATTTTGCCTTGTTTTATCAAATATCCTTCTTTAGTACCAAGCTGTGAAATAATAAGAACTGGGGTTAGAGAATCAGCTCTGTTTTTGTTTCCCACATCCCCTTCTGCCTATAACCATAGATGGAAGAGCAATCTGTTCTCAGGCAGCTTCCTGTAACCACTTGCTCTTGTCCTTGTTGTTGAGTCCCTGCTCCTCACCACTTGGATAAACACCAACTTTTGCTGACTCCAGAGACAAACTCTTCCACCTCTCTATTCAAGCTTCTGGCCTGCATCTTGTCCATTAAACGAAGCAAAATATATGCAATTATGGTTGATCTTTATTTAGAGAAGTTGGTTGTCTGCCTCTGCATGCTATAGCCAGAAGTACCTGGAGTTTGTCAGTGAATTATTGCCACTACTGGAGGGAGCGTGGGGTGGAGGATAGAAAGCCTTTTAGTGGCTGCATAGGAAAGTTAAGTTCCTTTAGAGGTTTAAGTGGAACTCAGCTGTGAATGGGTGGATGTGGGATACAAAGTGTTTCTTGTATGGACTTTGTTAGCCTGTATTAATGTAACTCTTCCTCTTTAATTTCAAAAAGTTAGTAAGTTATTAGAATACTCTCCTCTGTGCTCTGAGCCATACTGTTCTGGACAAACCACCTGTTTCACTTAAATAGGAGTTAGGGATTTAAAGTCTCTAATTACTGTCCAAGTGAGTCACAGATATCAGAACAGATGGCTCAAATGGATATGAAGATGTTCTCTTGTTTCTCACACCAGGAAGCCATAGCTTCTAACATGACACTGCTTTTTACTAGGGCTGAGAGGCTCTTAAGTCTATTTTGGGTGCAAGTCTGTGTTAGAATACAGCAAGCCATCTTTCAGCTTTAAGATGAGATGATTATCAGGTAATAAGTCCAAATAAGAAAATGCTAAAAACAACAACAAAAAATCAAATGTAATGTGCCTACCAGAATACAGATACACTTACTCAGTTGTAGCACTCTTGATTTGGGTTTCCCTTTCCAAATGTGTCCCTATTTGTCTCTGAATATTTTTGAATAACTTTTTTTTTTTTTTTTCAAAAGCTCAATTTTTAACTGATGTAGGGATTCAGAGGTGCTATCTCCTTCATTCCAGCCTGTGCACTGCTAGAAGCTTGCCAAAACAAGGGTTTGCTGTGCAACCTGATATAGGTATTGTTGCATGCAGCCTGATCAGTGCTGTCAGAAAAGCATAATACTTCTCAATCTGGTCTTTAGAATTTGTTTTTTAATTCCTGATAATATTACTGGTAAGACTGCATCTTAAAGGGAAGATAACACAGGAGATCTAAAACCTTTTATATATACTTTGTTTGATAGTCAGACTCTCCTTGGCCTGCTGTTGAGAGCACTGGCAGTCTCGGAGGCAATGGCTATGAGAGGCTTTATTTGTCTGTTTTTAGCAAGTCTGCTTTGCCTTATTTGGTGAAGTCGTCTTGTATTTCAGAACACGTACAGTAGTGAATTATCAGCATTATTCCATAGCTCACTCTAGCAGTCACATTAAACTCAAGCCAACTCAAACACCTTTCTTGCTAAAGAGCAACTTACTGAGGGAGCATTTGGAACAAGATCATTTTCTGTCCTTCCTGTCTGCATTGCTGTGTGAACTCGGACAGACTCATAAATAGATGGCTCCTCCACTTCATGTGGGTAGGGATGCTTCAATACAATTAAGGTTCCTGGAGAGAAAAAGAGCAGGAGTGAGTAATATGTCAAGAAAGTCTTAGAAAGTAATTGGAAGTAGCTGCTTGCTTGTAGAATGAATTAGTTTCACAGAATCACAGAATGCCTCAGGTTGGAAGGGACCTGAAGTATCACGAAGCTTCAACCCCCCTGCCACATGCAGGGCCATCATTTAATACTAGACCAGGCTGCCCAGGGCCCCATCCAATCTGGCCTTGACCTCTAGGCACAGGGCATCCACAACCTCCCTGGGCAGCCTGTTCCAGCACCTCACCACTCTCAAAGTAAAGAACCTCCCCTGACATCCAACCTAAATCTTCCCTCCTTCAGCTTAAAACCATTTCCCCTTGTCCTGCTGTTATCTACCCTTTCAAAAAGTTGACTCCCCTCCTGTCTATAGGCTCTTAAAAATTGTATAGTTGTAAGAGCTAATAACTTCCCTAAGATCTCAGTAATCTGCCTGTACAAAGGCTGCATTAACAACAGTAAATCTAATACATATTCCTCATAGAGAAGATCCTCTCCAAAATAGGAACAGTTATACCTTCTAATACCAATGTTAAAAACATCACAGCATACTAAGTGCTGTTATGTTAGCATTTTATGTTGGTATTGTTAGCTGTTAAGCAGGAGGAGTGCTAGAGGTGTTAAAGACTTGGATTTGAAAACTTGTAGGTGATTTGAGTAACTTAAATATGAAATAAAGTCTTAATCATATTTTGTAATAAGGACAACAAAGGGAAATGAAAGCATGATTTTTCTCTTTTACTAACCAACTGATACCTTGTTCACAGGCACATGTATATGCACCTATGTTCAGCTTGCAATAGGTTAAAAGTGAAAACTGGTTTAATTCTCTCTGGTCTTGTAGGGAAAAAAATGCTTTAGCATCAGGAAGAAAACAGAGACACATCCCATCACCAGTCTATAAAAACTACTCTTCATCTGTTGCACAGACTGTTATTGTACATACATTGTAGGCAAAGATCCACGCTGCTAAACTGGCTGGACTAGTTCAACATCTTATACTGTATGTGCTTTCTATTAAGCTCTCCATGCCTTCTTTTCTCCATGAAAGATACTTGTACAGAATCATTTGGTGATGGTATAACAATAGTAACAGATTCTTGCTGTTTGTGCATGTATCTATTTCTAAGAAGAAAGTTACTAACCACATGTTAGCAAGACTTTTGTTTTTTCTTCTGAGTTGAAAGTCAAAGCTTTTATGTTTTGAAAATAACTTGAGGAGAATGGGTAAACAAAGCAAACAGCCTTCTGACCTTTTGCTCTGAATGAAGACTGAAACACAGAAACACAACACCAAATTGTTTTAAGATTGTTAGTGAACAGATTCAGCTTGTCAGTCCAAGAAATAAAATATAGCAGTCTCAATTTCCTTTTAATTATCTGTAGTTCAGGAGGAAGTGCATGCAGAAAAGAATATTAGTCAGTGTAGCAATCTGGAGTAGCAAACAAAGCTGTAGTAAAATGAGGTTTGTGGGCCTGAAAGCACAATCCTGCAGCTGTCCCAGTACAAAAGAACTGCTGTGCTCCATGGGCCAGTTTAAAGTTTAAGAGCTGATCAAAGAGCCTGGTGTATGTCTTCAGATACACAATTAGCTGCAGTGAGACAAAAGGTGAATTGAAGATAGTGAAAATTCTTACATATTCTACCTCACTGTTGCTGTCTTATCAAATCCTGTCCATAAGAAAGGTGGGAATGAAAAGTATTCATGTTATCTTGCTTTGCTCTCGTTCCTGACCTCAGTCCCTTCTCTGTAAAATTGTTTGTAAGGATAACAATGGTTAAGAAAAACTGGTCCAACTACTTTCTGCTCTTGCTTGAGATAAAGGTGACTTGCACAGTGAAAGCTTCCTTTTGCTGAAAGGAAGTGTGGCCTAAGAAATTAGGCTTCTGCTGGCTCTTTGGCAAGCCTGCTGTATGTCTCTGTGTTGTGCTGGTCAGTCAGACATGGCGATGCTTGGCTGAGAATGGGCTCTAATGAGCCCCTGCCCCCTTCTTAGCACACATCAGTTATCACCCCACACTGTGTTGTCATTCTCTTCCTCTCTACTGTTATCCCTAACAAGTGAAGGTAGAGGAGTTCTTGATGTGATCTTCAAATGCCCTTTTCCTGCTGTGTAGTATGTTCAACTTAAATACCTTAGAGATTTCACAGAGCTAGCAGAATCCAGTTAGGAGCTTTAAAGTGGCAAGTGAGCCCTTCATTCAGCAGTATTGATCCTGTCCATAGAGACTGTGTAACACCCAAGCCTCATTTACTAGTCTCTGTAATACATGCAGTGATAGAATGGGGAAGTACAGCCTCGTCATCTGGAATCTCTGCAGAGTTAGGCCTGCAGGTGCGTGTCTGATTTTGCAGGAAGCATTTCTAATTGGTGCAAAGGGTACAAATACAAACTGTTCTAAGCATACTTGAAAACAACTTAAGAGAATGCTGTGGAAGACACAAGCACAATATTGAGTGTAGCACTGCATTATGTTTGTGAAATATTTTATAAAGCAACCTTCAAATTTAATGCTTCTGATCCACTGTGTTAGAAGGGTGCTGGTGCTTATTCACTGTGTGACATACCCCAGCTTTTGCATGTGACAACCAGCATTTAGCTGGCCACTTTCACAGTAGTGCTCATAATGTATGACTTATTTGCACATGCTTTTTCCATGGGATACTAAAGTTTTTGGTACTAACTTGTATTGACTTATTGTCAGCTCTTATCTTTGAAGCTAAATGTAAATCTGGCACTTCTGGGCTAATACACATCTACTGGTGGGATCCCAGTCTGATAGTGTCATGTTCAAGTCACTTGTAGGAATGGAGTTTAATGTTTTGACACTTAACTCAGGTAGCATGCTGGCTGCCCATGAAACCTGTGCTTTTCTATTTATTTTTTTTAAAAGCAACACAAATCCATGTGATGGTGGGATGGGATCAGCAGGCTGACCTGCTGTGAACAGAAAGAGGAAGAGATAACACAGGGCATGTTTCCTACAGGAAAGTGGAGGATATCACTTGCTTGACTGAAGAAGAGTAGAGCAAAATTTTCAGGTCCTTTTCCATCAATTCTTTTTGGAAGATTTCAAATTTATACACAAATATGTATTTTTCTCACTAGGTAAGCATTCTGCTTTGGTTTTGTCCTTGTTAAGAAGGTTCTGCTCCATCCATTAATGCGTATTTTCAAGAGCTTCCTTGGGTTCTCAGAGAGAAAGCACACTATGTCCATAGCTAGCAAAAACTCAGGCTGCATGTACTATGTCTACAGCACACTTGAAAGTTTTTTTGAAGAGGGATATCTTAAATAACTCAGGGATTTTTGAAGAGGAACACTTTAACAACATTTCTACCGTATAACACATCAAAAACTCCTTTTATTCAGATCTGTATGAAGCGTGACTACAGGCATGTTTGTGAAAATGCAGAGCTCTACTTACCTGTTTCACTTCCAATTAAAGGTTGATTTGCAAAATGCATGACTAACTCCTTCAAGCTGGAAAATTCATTAAATCCAAATTTGAGTGAGGTTCCTGTATATTCAACATGAAAATGTTTCACAGAATCCTTTCCCCTGCAACAGAAAAGGAAATCTTGTAGAGGACTGGTAAAGGATACTTGGCATGTAAAATCCTTAAACAGTAGCTACTACCACAGGAAATCTAGCACAAAATCAATCTTAGCAGTAATACTGCTGTTGTTACTGTCCCTCACTTATAGTCAATATATCTGAAAATCATATTCATGAAGAAAAGATACTTGCTGCTTTACAGATGAGGATAGCAAAAGCCACAAAAGATCAAGATAGTCAATCTTGTCACAAATCAATAAGACTTATAAACATGATCTTTAGGTTTCTGTCTAAGAAGGTTGATGATCATCTTTTACCCAGCCCCAGTTCTGATGGTCTGCCTCTACTATTTGAAGTACTTGCTTTATTTTTCAGGTGTCGCCGCAGTCTCACTCTCTGCTTTGTTTGAACGATGAAGGCTTTACAATTTGTCTGCTCTGTCTCTGTCCTCATGGTTGCACTATAATGGGTGCTGTCAAACAAGAATCAGGGTCCCTTTACTGTCAGAGAAGTAACATAATTTGTTTATGCAAGCCGGTGATATTTAGAGAAGTATGCAAGGCTTCACTTCCTGGAAGGGTACTTATTTTTACTTCAGAAGTCAGTGAAGCACTTAGAGCAAGCATTTTTTCCGTGAAAAATGACTTCTGTTAATAATACTAGCATCCAAAGTGGTCCAGAGAGAAGTCTGGCTCAGAAAACATGCCTGTAGCAAAAATACTAACAAATTTTGCTGAGAAGGGGGGCTTACAATGTTTTTTTTTTTTTTTGTGATGTTTATTGACAGTTCTACAGGAGCTTCTAATTTCCAACTGGTTTTGAACAATTTTCTTTGAACAATAGTTAGAACATGACACTGTAGAACATGCCTCATAATGTCTCTTGCGCTTTGCCCTACCATCAGCTCAGACAGTGTCTGCTATCCAGTGCAGCTATCTGGCTAACAAATAGCTGCTGCAATGGTTTGTTGCAATTACAGGGTCTTCACCTTTTCATTTAATTTCACAGGAAATACAATGTTGCAATTAGAGCAATTTCTACTCTATTTCCTTCTATGCCAGTTCCTTTTTAAAGTTAGCTAATACAGCTGGGAGATATGTTTCAGGCAGTGTATGATCTCTCTGCTCGTCTTCTTACAGCTGTCAGTTAAAACCCCAAGGGCTTTCTCTTACAAATGATGATGACTGGTGAAGTTTCTTGAGAGGTAAAAAGGGAAGTAAAGGAATTTTAGGAGATAAGAAAATGAAAGCTGTAATTTCTAAAATGGCTCTTCCTGCAAGGCATCAGAACGAAACTGAATTGCTTATTCCAAAATGAAGTTTTAATAGAAAAAATTTAAAAAGCAAATTATACTTACAGCAGAAAATAAATAAATGAAACATCTTCAAAGAAAGATTAGTATTTCTAGGGAGCTGTACCACCATGAAACCAGTGTAACAGTAAGAGACCAACCTCCAGACTCAGATCTGGAATGCTCTGCATACAGTGATGCAGTGAGCAACTCTTGATCCTCACTGCAAGAGCTGAATAGCAGATTGGAATTGGCCCAAGTAGACTTCTCTCGGTATCATAAGACTAGAATTTGGTAAAATGGCATGTATATTTTCATTATCACTTCAGCTTTCATCTCCTATTAGAACAACTTATGCTGTGTTCCTACCTGCAAGGGTTGTGAATAACCAGCATCACTGTGTATATCCAAGCAATTTAATTTAAAAAGTTACTGTGATTCATAGAATAAGTTGAAAAAGACCACAATGATCATCTCATTTCAACCCCCTGCTATGTGCAGGGTCGCCAACCACCAGACCAGGCTGCCCAGAGCCACATCCAGCCTGGCCTTGAATGCCTCCAGGGATGGGGCATCCACAACCTCCTTGGGCAAGGATTCACCAGAGCTGTAGTTCAGAGACCCAATATGAGGCAGAAATGAGCATGAATGCAATAGCTTGAACATCCAGTAGAGACTTAATATTTCATATAGTTGCCAAAAGTTATGGATTGCCAAAGGTTATGGATGTATTTAAGGCTGGTTACCTCAATGCAGCTGACACGCAGCAACTACTTTGTATGTCTAATGCGTGTGTCTCTCATTTTGCCTGCCAAAAATATTGTGGCTTCTCTGCTTCTTGGCTTTTTAAGGATTCCTTCAAAATGATTCAGTAGTGAATTACCCAGGGTAGGCTAAGTGTGCTTTGTGCTGGCTGTGTCCTGAACTGACGTAAATTGCTGAAATTCTGATGATTTCAACAGCCTTATTTCTGTAACTGGGGAAATACTAATACTACCTGAATCAGTAGTACACTACTGGTTACAAATCAAGTCTTAGCCCACACTGGAGGAGTAAAACTATCCAGCAAATCACTGGATTATCTGGATGACAGTTTCAGAGATCCAGAAACTGTAAAGTTACGATCAATTAACTGTTACATTTTCTTTCTATTTATGACTATTTCTTCATTGTAAACATTTTTGACATCTATCAGGCATTTAAGCTCTCATTACTGTCATGCAGATTTTTACCATACAGACAGAATATCTATACCAATCACAAAATGACATTTTTCCCCAGTAATGTTAGATCATATTTTGGAAAAAAAAAGAGCCTTTTTCAAATTCAGTGCATATTTTATTCTAAAGTCACTCAACAGGACTAGATCATTAGGAATGTATTTTCCAATAGTTTGGGCCCCAGAATGAAATCTGAAGGTCGTATCAGTATGTGAGATGCAAACATTCATGGGAGTTAAGTGAAAAATCTTTAAATTGTCAGCTGTGTAGCATCAGATAGGTACCATAAGAAAGATGTTTCTGTTCATACCCTACCTTACAGAGAGGGAATACAAATCTTCCCTTTCGTTACTCTTCCTCAAGAGATAGCTTCCATCCTTGCCATTGGAAAGAAGCAGGGCTTCTGCTGCATGTCGAGTAAGGTTATAATGATACCACCTGGGGAGACACAAGGGGTTTAAAGCATCATTCGCTCTGTTCTTAGCTGACAGTTTCTGCTGAGTTTTGGAGCTGAGTCAGAGAAAGAAGCAGAACTGGAACTAACTCTGCTACAACTGAGTTATTCTTCTAACAGGCAAATACAGGTTGAAAAGAACTGTGCCCTTCTCAGCAGCCTCCTTTTGACAAGCTTACAAAATGATCTTTGTTGTAACTATGAAATTATGCTCTTCCATATTTACAAAGAGCTGACTGTATAAGTACCAAGAAATTACCCAGACGTTCTCTAATAAGGTGAAAGCAGTTCTGGGGGGTATGCAGGACACTTTGTCTAATTTCAGAATCTCTACTTCCTGATAAATCTACACACTTCAGTACGTTTCCTCTTTTGGGGCAAACGGAGCATTTGGGTATAAAAACAGAAAAATATCTTCCAATCTCTAATTCCCTCAGCTCAGTTCATCTGCACTGCTAATATCTGCAATTAAGCAGATTTGCCTAAACTGATGCTTTCATATGAAGCATAACCTTTTTGGAGGAGGGAATGAAGGGGAGGAAAAGGTAAACCAGCAGAATCTGAAGTGAGAATTTGGGAAACTCGCCATCGCTGTCACTCAGCTGCAAGTGATCTGAGCAGTGCAACAAAGTACTGAACACTTGCTTCATTTAACTTCAGTGAAAATTCAGTTCATACATTTTTATGTATGAGAAATTCCATGAGGAATCCACATGGAATGTTCTGGGGAAAATTTAAAAAAAAAAAAAAAAAAAGTGATGAAGACTGCACAATGCTTCTTACAGCCTTGTTTCTGTCCAGACTGACTTGGAACAGAAATGTCTTATTTCTTTCAATAGAAAAGGATCTCATTAGAACCATTCTTGAAACTGGTCACAGAAAAAGGGATGTGGCTATAGAAAGCTAAAGCCCTAACTCTGTAAGAGGCTGTAGGCAAAAATTAATGATGACTATACTTACACCAGCGTTTCTGGTCGAGAAGGAGAGAATGTAGTACCTCTAATACCCTTCCCCTCATCCCTATGGGAGTGGTGCTGCTTCCCTATCCCCTTTCTTTAAAACTTTGTGCCTGTATCTGTTGGGGCGAGCTCATTACTATTTCAGCTCTTGAAATATGGATTGACTGACAGCAGACATTGGATCACAGCGCTTTCTGGTGTTCATATTGCAACAGTCTTCAAACTGAAATGATATGTAACTACACACTCTTTTTTTCCTTTTCTGTTCATCAGAACCTGCCACTTATCTTGGTGTCTCTCACAAATGTTTACCTCCGAATTTAGATGGCTGCCTATCTGAAAGGCCAGCTGGTTGATAAATGGCTTTATAAGAGATTTCGGACTGTTTCCACTCTGTGGAAGACAAGATCCATGTGAAACTCAATACAGGCAGAGTTGCTGCTTTGACTCTGGAACGTGCTCTGTGGACCATCTACAAAGCAGAATAAAATAATAAGTATTTAAAGATCAAACTGTCATCCTCAGAAACACCTGTCAGCCAAAATCTGCTTTAGGATTAACTGCCCAAGTAAGTAACAGTCAAAGGTCAGATCTGTTCTGATGTGATGAGGATCGTATTGGCACGTAGGCTAGGCAGGCTCTACAGCTGAGAAGATGACATTGTGTTTTGAGTGCAATCTCAATGTGTTTTCTCTTACTGCTGTGACAAAGAAACATTCAGAAAATCGGTGAGTGGTCATTTTCATAAAAAAGGTCACTTATAAGTGTGCTATTATTTTATTTCCAACAAGTCTTCTATGAAGAATTTGAACTAGAGGTCAGTCAGGTTCATAAAATGGACTGTTTACGTGTGCTCTCTTACATGCAAGAGTGATTTAATGACATCGTACATTGCAGGGAGGAGAAAGTCATACCATCCACCCGGGAAAATAACATTGGCTTAGAGCAGATACTTAAATCTGCTGAAAAAGTTGCATTGCTCTTCTTACACAAATACGCTATTGCAGACAAAAATCCCTCAGATATTACTATGGTCATCTTTCTCAGCTTTAAAAAGTGAACATGAAGCAATAACACGGCTCCCAGCATCAAAGTAGCTGTCTTACTCATGGCTATTTTTTTTCAATATCTATTGTCACAGATGGCTGGATCAGTAGCAACTCTCAGGTTACTTTATTCTGCTAAGAAAATGGACAGTCAAAATTTGTTCCAATCATGTGGACACCGATACAATTTAAAAACTGTATTGAGAAGTAATCATTTGCACACAAACTGCCAGGGAAGTGAACACACACCATGAAAATGTTTAAAGATCCTTCTGTTCTCCTAATCAACCTGTCTGATGACAAAGATAAAAGTAAATAATGCTAAAAATTAACCTAAGGTCCTGTAGTTAATACCACTACATGTGCTTCCATTGAATTTAAGTATTTGTTGGGAGACTGGGGCAGGGGGAGAAATCCTTCAATTTTTATTATTTAAAAAAAAAAAAGTCATGTTAACCTGTCTGATACCAACAGAACTTCTAAGACAGCTGACTGAAGATCAGCCTTAGTAGGTACCAAGTTGGGGAGACATAGCTCATTATAAGGCGCAGCTGCCCTCTGCCTGAGTTTTGTTCTGAATGATACTTGATGGAGAAAAACAGGTAGAAAATACATTGTAGCTCTACTTCTCTATCTACTTAAAATAATAAATTAATTGTATTTGAAAGGTTTTACAAACATTCTGCTGTTTGAGGCCAGCAGGAAGCTCCACTTCCAAAAGCTAAATTGTCTTGTCAGCTCTTCATTTTTGAAGCACAGTCCACTTGTGGTATATTGGGCTCTCTCCAAATATCCTTCAAAAAGTCATTTCTGTTTGATTCAACTTATAGAACTTGTATCTACTACAAAAAATCCAGGAATATGTTCCATACTTTGATACTTGTCAGACTGAAAATTACCAGGAGTGAAGAAATTGCTTGGGGATGCTGATACAGAAACCTCTCTATGAAGAAATAAAATGGGAAAGAGGGAGAAGACCTTTCCTTTCTATGAGCTTCTTCTGCTGGCTGCCCTTGGCTTTGCATGTCCTCTCTCAAACTCATACGTATCTGGAAGGTTTTTTTCAGTTACTTCATTTCTCTGATCAAAAGTCTTATATGCACCATTCCTTGTTTTAGTTTCCTTGTTGTCAGTTTGACAAATGATTTCAGATTGGGTATACAATTGCTGCCAGAGTCATGTGTCAGTTCTCATTCCTTTAACTTTGTCCAAAATTATGTTAGTCTCACTATCCTATGCTCAAAAGCACTTATTTTTTAATTACTGTGTGCTGCTGAAGAACCATACTATTCCTACTGCTTTTCAGAGTAGAAGCATCTTCCAGGCTCCAGGCCTATGGACAGCATATCTTAAGGCTAGCCTGTCACACTACTGGGATTAGCTTTGCTTCTCTTTGGAAAGTATCACATTTCTATACATCAGACTACTTTTCAGATTAGATCGTATCAGTGACAGCGTAGGAAGGGCTTCGCTGTCAAGACAAGGAGGAATAAAAACAGAGATGGTACCCCAGAAAATCAAAAGACATCCCCGCGGTCCTAAGTATTTGCCCACCTAAGCACCAGTGTGACTCCCACCAGGGGGAAACAGGTGGCCACAGCACAAGCTGTGTCTGTGTCACTGCAGCTATGACACTCATTGCAATGCCAGAAAAGGGTGTGCTGACATGACAACTTTTTTTTTTTTTTTTTTTAAGATCTGTTACAGCTAACATAGTAACTAGAGCTCTCTATGTGGTGGTGGTAATCAGAAGCGCACTGTAGCAGTGTTTTTAGTGGGGAATTTCCTCTTCAGATAAGAACACCCTCTTCAAAATGTTCCTTTATTCTTTAATAACTCAAAATATATTGAAGAAAAAGTTACAGAAATTTCATTCCTATGTCACCTACAGATCAGTTTTTATGCATGGTATCTGCTTTTTTCAGTAAAGCTGTTGGCAAAGCAACTGTCCTGGGGTGTGGTGGAGTCATTGTCCATGGAGATGTTCAAGTGCTCAGATGTTGTACTGAGGGACATGGTTTAGTGGGAAGTACTGGTCATAGGTGGATGGTTGGGCTGGATGATTGTGGAGGTCTTTTCCAATCTTGGTGATTCTAAGAAATGTATAGATATTCCCTCTAAAACACTTATTTTCAGCCCCTGTAAATAGGGGCTGGTGAATGACACTATAGCCAGCATCAGGAGGGTGAACTTTTTAACAGTATTGGAGTACACAAGAAACACATTCACCTATGGCTGACCTACAGGTAAGCATTGAGGGACTTGGCTGACCCTCTTCTCAGTCATTTCTGTATGCAAACAGCTGAACACCCAGTGGAGCACTCCCTTTTCCTCATCATAAGAACTATAGATATCTAACAGCAGTAGTATGCACAGCAAGAAGTTTCGATTGCCGTTTGTTTTTCATGTCCGAAGCAATGCTTAACTGATGTATGCCTCGCTATCAGGTAAGAGCAGTAGGCACATGTTTGACTAATAACCTGGATGGAGTTAGAAACTCCTGTAAAAGTCAGGTGATTTCAAAGTTCCTTGGAAACGGGAAGGAGATTCTTGGTGTTCAGCTGGGTTATCCTGTGGACAGCACTGTGGCTGTCTAGGCTGCAGGTGCCAAGCAGAAACACAGCAAAATATGTCACTTCTCATTTACCTCTAAAAGGGAACAAAGATCTTCGTTACGTTCTTCAGCAAGTGGAGGTGATCTAAAAGTGTTCTCAATAGGACTTCATTCCTATGTTTTTCAGGACAGCTATTTAGTCTTTTTTTTTCCTTTGGTGATGGTAGATATTGGCAGGTTTTGCACGTTTTAAGGTATAGAAAGTATCCCCTATTATAACATGATGAATTTTCTTACAAAATTATATACCATATGATATTCTTAAAGAAGTATTCCCATTCTTAGTTTAAGGAGTAGCATGCTGTACTGCTTGGTTTGTCTCATTTGACTGTACATGATGCTCTTCATGTGCCTTTACTCAAAAAATGACTCCACATAATGGCCTCACTGGCTTTTCTAGTCTCTGCATGCTGAATCTCAGAAACTCCAATATCAAATGTGTCAAGTTTGTTCTTCCCCCCCCCCAGAAATATTACCTATCATCTTAAAATTGGGAAGGGCTCTTTTTATGTCACATCAGTAAAAATGATGATTTGTCAATGTTTTTAATGGCACGTAAGTCGATATAGATCGCACTGAGTGACGTGGTTTAGTGGGCACGTTAGTGATGGGTTGACAGTTGGACTGCATGGTCTTAGTGGTCTTTTCCAACCGAATGATTCTATGGTAGTTCAAAAAACTAGAAAAGGTGAGAATGCTAAGAAGAGTTATAGGTGGCAGGCAACCAAAAATGGTGTATATTAGAGAACCTTTCCATGTGTCACACTGAAATTCAATGTTTCAACGTGACACACCTAATCACACACCCATGTGAAGTACTTTGTTGGACTGACTTCTCACCATGTCATAGGAACAATAATTAAAAAATAGAAATACGAGGAAGTGACTTCAGTGCATCCAACCTTCACGTTCATGTCTTCTATTTGCAGGCTTTTTCTAGTTCAGCTTCTGCTTTTCACTTCTATTTTCTCTCTCCCCTCTCTCAACTGACTTTGTTCTGCCCACTTCTTTTGCCAACTTTCTGTTTTAATTTTGCTCTTGTTTACATTAGAGGTACAGATTTTTAAAAAAAAAAAAAAGAAAGAAATCTTCTGACCACTTGCCCTGTCCTGCTCATATCAGTTCCTCAACCCAGGACTAAATCTTAACATAATCTGATTTAGGCCTGTGATATAATTTATTTTCTTACTGAAGCTAGGTACGAAGAGTACTGTTCAGTCACATAAATACCATCTGTTGCAGTATTGTCAAACCTGGAGTAGGAGAAGCATAAAAGCTGTGCTACAATAGATGAGAAAGAACAGTGAAATTACAAAGAGAAGAATGCTACGAAAACTTTTCCTCTCCTTCTTTTCATTCCTGAAAGACAAAAAATACACTAGTACAACCATGTTGAGACTGAAGGTATGTTACCAAACCAGACTAATTACTTAGATGCCCAGACAGTCCACATTCTCATCTCTTGCAAATACAAGAAATGCAAAGAGGATTTCTCCGAACTCACATTATGTGTGATCAGATACATGAGGTTCATGATGGAATATAAAATATTTAGCAATAAGTGCAACTGGAAAAAAGGCTGATTCCAGTCATCCATGCAGACCTCATAAAGAGAATCATGTCAGTTCCTTTTTCCTTTAAACCAGTATATGTGTCTCTTGACAAGCTTCAAAGCTCCCATTTAGTGTTCATACAGTTAGGGAAGAAATGAATGAGGTAATGTGTTTTTTAACAACAAATGTTCTGATTCTGATCTTCTTTTCGGTGGTGGTTCCACCTATCAACACCTTTACAATGATGCTGACAGTATTCCAGATTTCTCTTTTGAGCTTGACTATCTGACCACTAAACCTCTCAAATTGTGTAGAGGGCTCCAAATAAACAAGCCACCATCTTCCCTCAGACTGGCTGACTGAATGAAACAGTTTAAAACAAGAAAGGAAAAAAAAAAAAAAAAAAAAAAAAAAAAGCTAACTCCATTACACTTGCTCTCTTTTGTTTTGATGGAAAGGCCCCAAAAGTTCATGTTTGTAAATACCAAGGCTCTCGAGAGCAGTGATACAACTTGATAAACAGCTGTAGATATGCCTAGATCTCTCAGTGGCTATGATTATTCATGAAGATAATTGGATTGTTAATTTTTTTCATTGATTAGTTTTTTGTGATGGATAATATACTACTGGCAGAGACAAAATAAGATGGGGATTTGAATATATCGACTTTGTCTTCTCCTTCCTGCCTTGTGCTCAACAATGTAGTAATTACAATGTAATTACAGGAGCATTAATCTCGATAAGCCCAGCAAATACCAGATCCTCCAAGCCTAGCAGAGTGTCAGATGAGTATGCAGTACAAAACCTATCTGCATGGCTGTCAACTGTCCATTCTGATAACCAGCTGATCTGGTAAACTGAGGTTATTCTGTCAGCCGCATCTTTCCCCTTAAAATGCTTCCCATATCACACTTCTTCAAACCTCCTCCAACTTTGAATTTTGCACAGCAAAGTAGAAGGTCTAAAATAACCCACTCCAGTTTACCCCAAAAGATTCATGAATGTCAAATCTGCTTCCTGTTTGAATGAATCCTTTCTCTGTTGGTCTTTACTATGGCAATAATATATATTCCTCACTGGAACCAGGACTCAGTTATGCTAGATACTATGTTGGAAGGAAACAAAAAATGAAAATAAAAATCAACTTCATAGTAGAAAAAAAGGCTTTATTTAGTCATCCGAAGAGAGTCCTTGTTTGGAATTGCTTAGTCAGGTTTAGTTCATTTAATTCAATGCACTGTGTTAAGGGGATGTTTGGTACTTTGTAGTAGGGTGAAAACTTTATATTTTCCCCTAAAACAGAAATAAAATAAATAAGCTTCAGCTTAAAGATGGATCTGGGTAGCTTTCTCACTGAGTTGTCTTTTCTTCCTTGCACCATATAGGGCTGCAGTCCTAAGCGTCCATCTGTTAGGATGAACTTTGAAACAAGCAAAGCAATCCATGAGCATAGGTTGCTGGTTTAGATCAACTCAAGCCATTTAAATGAATAGAAGTTTAGCAATCTGGAACCTTGTTTTCCATAGAAGATGCAAGTCAAGTTTTTCTGTATTTTTGTTTTTCATGAGAGTAATGAATCTTCATGAGAGTAATGAGCTATGCAGGGAATGCAAACAACGCACACTCTGGCTACCATTATGAAAGTGACTTTACCTCAGTCAGTATGTTAGATGCTTCAGTAACAGCCACTTCAATAACAGGTGCTTCCAAATATGGAAAATGATTAGCTGTGTGGACATGGCAATTCCAACTTTTTGCAGCCCAAGCTCTTCACTAGGTGAAGAGCTCTGCTACCACAAACCCTTTCCTCCCTGGCTGTGCAGTGCTGCTCCCCACACTCCTTCCCCTGTGTGCAATGCTGTCTGTGGAAAACTCCTGCTAGCCTTCTTGGTGTGGAGTTGGCAGGTGAGCAAGCCTGGTCAGTGGTGGGAAAGGAACAGGACCTGCAGCAACCTGTGGCCTTCCTTTTGCTGCTGGGCTTTGTTTTGGAGTGAGGGTGGCATCTGGCACGGGCCAGCACTGCCTACAGCTGAAGCACAGGTGCACGGAGCAGCCCTGTGCCCCTGGGGCATGGTGCTGGGTGGCCAGCCTGCCTGCTAGGGCCGAGGGCACCCTGAGAAAGTGGTCCAGCTCTGGAGGTGCTCCCTTGGATGCTGGATGAACAGGTGGCTAACGCCTCCCAGAATTCCTTTCCCTGGTCCCGCACAGGGAGAACAGCACAAAACACAACAAGGTCTCCCTGATAGAGGGACATCTGTCATATCCTGAAGTAGCCATAACCTCCTGGTTATGTTTGAAGCACCTACCTGCCCTCTTGATTTTTCTAATTCTTGATACATCACACTCACCCGCCGTCTACCAGCATCCTCGACATCCCGTCCCGCCCCAGGACCGGGCGCCGGCTGTTCCCCGAGGGCGCTCCTTAGAACTCGCCGCCGTTCGTTTACCCCCGGGCGTTCCGACCGCAGCCAGAACTAAGCACCAGCTGCCCCGCGCCGCACCCCGCGGCCGCCATTTTGCGCGGGAATTCCCGCGCCCCTCAGCCGCCCCCGGCTCAGGTTGAGGGGAAGAGGGCCGCCATCTCGCGTGCGGACCCCCGCGCAGCCGCCGCCTCTTACCCCAGCGCCCGCAGCTCCTCGTCCAGATGGGCGCTCGGCTCCCGGCGCTGGGTCATCGTCCCGCCGGGGGACACCGGCTGCCCGCGGCAGCCTCCGCGGGGCGCTGGTAAGTGCGCGGGCGGTGCCTCTGGATGGATGCCGGCCCCTCGGCGGCCGCCTCGCCGCGGGGCGGGGGAAGCTCGGTGCGGGATCCTACCGCGCTGCGAGGGGTTCGCGCTCAGCTTCCTGAGCTCTTTCACGCTCGTAGCTGCGTGGTTGGTGATAACTGATTTCTGTGGCGATTTCCACTGTTCTCCACGTAAATTTTAGAGAGATCCTGCTGACAATCTCTTAGAAACAGCAGTAGGAAAGTTACGTGGAAGTTTGCCAAAAAGATCGTGTGTAACCAGGAACGAAGTGTTGTTAGATGATGGATGAGCTCTGTGGAAAGAAGTGTCTTACTGTCAGCTCCTTTTCTTATATTCCAGAAGGTTACAAGATGTGCTGTGTGCCAGTATTCCCTAATGCTTCGTGGCAGTACTTATTGTAGCTCTGTCAAATTCTTATTTTCATTAAACTTCTTTGGGGGGGGGGGGGAAGGCCATCTTGGGGAATTAAGGGGAGGTACAGTGCTATTTATTTTCCAGACCCACTACAGTTTTCACTGCATACCCAGCACTGAAAATAAGTTGTTTCTAGAAGAACTGATATTCAAAGAGGTCAGAAGCATGACTTATTTTTTCATAAATAATCATTTGAACTAAGATTAGTTCAGAACAACTAGGATTAGTTCAGAACGGGCTCAATAAAAGCCTCCTGCTCCTCATTCTCTCAGTGAATTGGTTTTACAAGAGCTTTTCTAGCCTCCTGATTGGGAAAAGCTTCATGGATTTTCTGTATCTCAGATCAGCCTATTCTGCTGTTGGACTTGGAGTTTAGTCTAATCATACTCTCCCTGGCTGCAGAATGTTCTTTTCCTTTGCTTGACCATTCATATTGTCAGTGAAGCATTTGGCTATAGACAACTTCATAATTTTTTTCTTTCTTTACTGGCTCTGCCTGCATTTTTCCTTTCCTCCATCTCTTATTGAAGCCTGTGATCTGATATTCTCTCTGGTAATTTGATCCTGAAATCTATGACTTTCAGTTAAATAGAAGCCTTTGACGTCTCCATAGTTTACTTATATTTGTTTTTGTTCTTATGTTCTGAAAGCTGCTTGTTTTATTTTCAGCAATGCTTCTGCTGAGTCCACTTCAGGTTATCTTGGTTGCCCATGTTACTAAGAGAGGAGGAAAATGAAAAAGACAGAAAAGAGATGACATAAATTCTGAAGAGTGACAAGCCACAACTAAATTTTAGCAAGTTCTAATTATATCACAAATTATCTTAGAATTTCAGCAGTGCAGACCATAAGGTATTTTCCAGTCCTCCTGCATATTTTGTGCATTGGTGGCTGCGGTGGGAGTGGGTTCCCCTCTCAGTGCAGATGCTTCCTCTTACATTACATCTGGGAATGCAACATTTCCTCTTTGCTCACAGAAAGAAATGAAAGTAGAAACTGAACTGTTATACAGCATGGATCTGCCTTCTGTTTAATCGGGTTCATGTAGGTTTGGTTTTTCTTACATGCTTTAGCCACAAGGCAGGAAGGCTACACATTGCCAGCTCACATTTCACAAAAGCCAACAGGCACTACTGTCAGGGTGTAGATCTCTTCCCAAGCACAAAATCTTCATGCATTGCATTTATTGGCTTTGAGTGCTGTGCAGAGCAGACCTGTAGGTAGCAGCAGTGCTCCAACACTTGCTGTGCAGCCCAGAAAGGAATAGCAGAACATTAGTATGGAGTCTTATTTTCTGCCTCACACCTTGCAGTGATCATAAAGCAAAAAGTGATGTAATGCAGAAACAATACTTTGAAGTCTTTTGGAACTGGCTGTCTTATAAGTGAAAAATAAAGAGGGAAAGCAAAAAACTATCATTTTAATTTCAGGTCGTAATTAAACAGAAAGAAAACTATGGCCAACAAAATGGGAAGGGGAAGCCAATGATGATATTTCTATTTATGTATTTATTCCTTGTCTTCTGTGTCACTCTAGGCTATTACAGAATTCTGTCATTACATGCAGACTTCCCATTGCAGCTGCCAGATCTGACAGACTGCCTGGTGCTTACTGTTAGGACAGGGCATTTTGGGAAGACATGCCTGTGTTTGGGAAGATACTGCTGCATCTCTGGGTGAGATTGAATCACCTGTGTCCTGCAGATCCTGGTTTCACAATGGTTCTTCCAGGTTTTCAAGTTTTTGCAGAGCAACTGCCTAAATAATTTCATTTTATTAAGAATTTAGGCTAGTAAGTCATCATCATCTATTCAGATAAGTGTAATTCCGTGCTTGGGCTCCAAGACATATTAACGTAATAAAAAAGTATTTGGCTAAGAGAACTGAGCAACTAATAAAGTTGATTAAGAGGCATGAGTGCTGCAGAAGTGCAATGAAATAACTCCAGCTATTTCACACTTGGCAGGAACTTGGCAGGAAAAAAAAGAAAATTCTAATTTTTTTCCATCTACTCTTTCACCTCACCTAGTAATAGTCTCAGCAGACAGCTTTGAGCCACCCAAAAAAAAGCTAAAGGAAAGTCCATTACAGGGACTGTGTGGAAATCCTTCCAGTGCATTCACACACAGTATGCACACCAATACTTTCTACAATTAACTTGGTTGTTCTTAGTTTGGAGTGCTTGTTGAAAACTAGTCATACTATTTGCTTTGCTGGAAGACACTTGATGCACTGAGTATCAACACAGTAATGAGTTTCTTTTGCAGAGTTTGAGATGCCTGAGTTATATTTATTTAATGCGTTCCCAGTTTCAACGCATTTACAAATGATGCCAACTAACCTGACATTGTCTGTGATATGTTCAGACAGGAAGGGCAGAATAGAGGGGAAGAAAAAGGATGAGAAGTTGCCAAGGTTCTTAGGGAAAATGAGATTGAGAAGAATTCAGAGATCACTGTAGCCCTGTCAGGATCAGGGCTTGTTCTCCAGGACAGGGTGAGAACATCCACCCAGGTGTAGCAGATGATTCAGCCGCCATGTCCTCCCGCATTTCTGCAGATTCCCTCCAAGCTAGAGTGGACATATATGCTAACATAGGCAATCCTAGAGATGTTCTGGTAGTAATTCATCTTTTTAAGTCTCTTAGTTCTGCTCTTAATTAAAAACAAAACCAAACAACCTCGCATTCACCAGCCTCTTGAAGATGTGACATCTGGGACCATCCGCAGTGAGCATTTCTAACCTCACTACACGACCTGTTCTAGGAAATTCAGCTACCCTTCTAGAGGAAAGTAAGGAAGGATATTTTTCCGATCTGTGAACTTAAACAGGGACATGGAGATCAGTAAAGGAAGTTTCCCCTGACGCTTGCTTTTTTTTTTCCTGGTCTTTGCTTGCTGTGTCAATATCAAGAGCAGGAGCAGTATATTTGGAGATGATAGTGGGAGATTAAATGCCGCTAGCTGAACAGCTGTGTTGTTGCACGTGGTTCAGTTTCCACAGATTTAATAGCATAGATAATGACGTGAAGTCTGCATGTTCCCAGTTTTAATTCTACAAGGAAAACTTTCTAGGAACTTTCTCATTTCACTTTTGGTGCACATGCACCAGTGCTTGAATCCTTCAATGTGTTTTTCAGGTCTCCTCAGAAATGGCCGAAGTCTCTTTAAAGCTTCCCATGTGAAAGCAGTGTTGTTCTCTCTAAGCAGGACTATGTTACAGCTTTAAAGTCTGGGTTCAGATAGCATAAAAATGTGTGTCTATGCTATCAAACTTGATAGCCCGGTCTCTTTGTGCAGCTACAAATGGGTACAGGGATACACTTTATGTGAAATTCTGAGAGCTGAGTAGAAAGGAGCTCAAATAAAATTGTGCTACATCAGTAGCATTTGAATGCTGTATAATTTTGCCTATTGGGGCGTTCTGAATAAGCAGATTACCCAGAATCTGAGTCCTTACTTTCTAAGGGTAACGATTGTAATTGTAATGCCTTTTGCTTGCAGGGGAAACAAGGGTTAATTTGCTGCTCACATCTGTGTAATAGACACCCAGAAGGCATCTTGCTGGAGTTATGGATGCCAGGCATTTTCCACAGCCTTGTCAAAAGCTCAGTTCATTGCCAGTTGCTAATTTAAAGCTGCATATGCCCCATGGCAGGGCACTTATTCTTTTCTAGAAAGGGTAAAAGCCTAATCTTAGAAAGGATGCAGATGCTTTGTGATTAGTATTTCATGGACCCTAATCAGTTTAGCTGGTTTTCAATGCACTGCAAATCCTGAGTACGATTGCTTCTTCTGTTACCAGCAAATGGCATGAATGACCATTTACACGCCATCGGCGGTTTCGTCTTCCACTTTGTGTTGAGGCATTTCAGCTACTCTAAAAACCAACACTTTGTCACATTAGCACCCAGGGACTGGGTTATAAATAGAGATCCTCTTGAGAGCCCAGCCTTACCTGAGGCCCTCTCCATCCGTGAGTGCTGTGAGATGTGGTGCTGCATGTATTTTGCTTGGCATTGCTGCACAGGGAGGAGGCCTGGTCTGGTTTTCGCACACAACATCCTCTCTTGGTGCAGAGCTGCTCACAGACATGAGAACAAGTGTTCTCATGATTTTGCTGAGTAGGAAGTCATGTATAGGTAATGTAGATAGGGCTCTGTGGAAGCAGGACGGCTGGGAGAGGCAGACAGCCATGCTGTGCTCTCACTCCAGCCTTTGAAACACAACAGCAGTGTCCTGCCATATGCTTAAACTGCAGGTAGGCCCATTTTTTGCAAGTGCATACAGTCAGCCAAGTAGCACAGTAGGTGGTAATAAAAAATCCCGCACGGCCGTGCAGCTTTCCCATAGCTATTTATTGTAGCATGGGCTGCAACAGCTGCACTTGGATTCCACGTGACATACATGTTTGTCCTGTGCCAACATAGCAGCCAGCCTGTCAGGGTCTTTTATTTACACTGCGACTTTCATAGCTGCAATCTCACCCCGCTTTGCCTGTTATAATTAGCTCTCAAAAACCAGCGCAGCTA